GGCGCTGCTGGGCGCTACCGCGCGCCGCAGCAAGCAACTGGGACATGCACGCGCACGCTGGCGTGCACGACGACTGGCTGGCGTGCCCTGGGCACTGCCAGTGGGCTACTGCTGCGGACAGGCAGTGCGCGACGCCCCGTGGGCCTGCGCGCAAGCTGCCAGTTCGCGCTGGCTCACTGATGAAGATCGTGTGTTCGGAATTTCGACAAGCCACGCGAGTGCCTTAAATCGAGATAAGGTCTCGAAGATCCGCGTCCACAGTCTTTCGAAACAAGTTAAATTGCAATAGAATTCAGGAAAATCTACGCAAAGTGTTTGAACAAAAGTTCGATTTTTTGTATTGATTTCTTCCCTCCTAAATTAACCAGAGGAAGGCCTTTATATAGGCATCAACTAGATCTAATCCTAATATAACTATAACTCTAATAAAACAATAAAATATTAAGTGTCCTAAATAATCTAGATATCATAAAGCAATAAGGAAACTAAATAACTAGGGAATCTAACCTTGGCTTGCGCTCCAAGTCCTTGTTTCCTAATCGCCCAAGCATTAGGGCTTCATCTTCCATTCCCGCGCATGTGTCCAGCAGGTCGCCTAATCCTCGCGCGTCTAGGCAACTTCGCGTGTGCATCCCGTCACTTGCGCGTTCAAACCCGCGTTCGGCCCTGATAATATCGAGCACGTCATCTTCCGCGCGCATTTGCCCATCCGCGTATCGCGCCTCGCTGGCACGACGACTTAGCCTCCTTCGCGCATGCCACACGCGACTCGCTGCGTTCTTGAGCCTTCTCATCGTGTCCGCATCATTCTCGTCCCCTTCAAGTGTTTCCTTGTCCTCAAGGAAGAAATCGGGGAACATCTCGCGCATCTCGTCCCAACTTTGCCACGTCGCTTCCTCACTCGGCAAGTCCTCCCATTCGATGAGCACCTCCCAAAAATATTTCCCAGCCTTTTTGACTTGCCAGTACTCCATCGCGCGACTCGGCCGCACCATAACCTGCCCGTCCGGCGCGACCGTGGGTAGTCGATCCTTCGCCGCATGTGTCTCGCCGAGTCGTTGCTTGAGTTGTGAGACGTGTATAACCGGATGAATATGGGAATCATCCAGCAACTAAAGTCGATAAGCAACCTTCCCAACCTTGGTCAAAACTTTATAAGGCCCGTAATATCGAACTCCGAGTTTGGTCGCAGCCCTTTGCGCGGCCATCCTTTGTCGAAACGGCCTCAACTTCAAATACACCCAATCCCCGAGCTCAAACTCCACTCACGCCGCTTGCCATCATGGTACGCCTTCATCCTATTGATCGAGCCCTCCAACGTTCGCTTAAGCTCGCGCAACATCAAGTCGCACTCGACCAACTCCCGATCGACCTCATCGTTCACGGAGCTCCCCATCGAGTAACTTACGATCGTCGGCGGTTTGCGTCCGTACACCAATTTGAACGGCGTTGCTTTAGTCGAGCTATGGTAAGTGGTGTTATACCAATACTCGGCCCAAGGTAAATAATTCTCCCACTGCTTTGGAAAGTGATGCACATAGCACCTAAGGTACTGCTCGAGTGTGCGATTGGTCATCTCTGTCTGTCCGTCGGTTTGTGGATTATAAGCCGAGCTCATGCTTAGCTCGGTTCCCTGCAGTTTAAAGAACTCCAACCAAAAACTACTCATAAATATCCGATCTCGGTCTTACACAATTGACCGCGGCACCCCATGCAATTTCATCACATATTCGACAAACAATTTTGCTATAGACTTAGCCGTGTATGGATGAGTAAGTGGAATAAAATACGCATACATGGTAAGGCGGTCGACTACCACCATGACTCCATTGAACCCATTCGAGAGTGGCAACCCCTCGATAAAATCCATGGTGATGTCTTCCCAAATTCGTGCGGGGACCGGCAAAGGTTGGAGCAGCCCGCCTGGTCGACGCACGTCCGCCTTAGTGCGTTGGCACTCATCACATCGCCCAACATAGTCGCGCACGTCACCCCTCAGCCCCGGCCAATAAAAAGTGCTTGCAATTCTCATCCATGTCCGGTACACCCCTGAGTGTCCTCCAAACTTCGAGTCGTGGAAGTGCCGGATGATTTCCTTGCGCAACAATCCCGCCTTGGGCACGACGACTCGACCATGATAAAGGAGCAAGCCATCGTGCATGTCATGGTCCTCGTCCTCGTCGTGTCCTACGTTCAGCTTCTCGATCACGTCCCGGCAATGTGCATCCTCGTCTTGCACCTTCAGAAGCTCAGCCCAAACGGCCCACGTTGGTCCCGTCACTGCGTCGAGCTCGGCCACGTCTTCCCAGCGAGACAATGCGTCGGCCACGGTGTTCTGGCGACCCGGTCGATACACTATCTCGAAGTCGAATCCTATCAACTTGGATACGAATTTCTGCTGCCCGGGCATCACGATCCTTTGCTCGAGCAAGTGTTTGAGCGGTTGCTGGTCCGTGACAATCCGAAAGCGTCGCCCAAGTAAGTACGGCCTCCACACACGCACGACCTCGACCACAGCTAACATCTCCTTTACGTATGCGGACATACCCAAGCGCGCCGGCCCGAGTGCCTTGCTGAGATAGGCCAAGGGTCGACCTTCCTGCACTAGAACTGCCCCGATCCCAATGTCGCTGGCATCCGAGTGAATTTCAAACAACACGTCAAATCTCGGCATCGCGAGCACGGGTGTGGTCGTCATGGCCACCTTCAGCTCCTCGAAAGCCTTCTCGCTCGCCTCCGTCCACTTGAATGCTCCCTTCTTCGTCATCTCTGTGAGTGGCTTCGCGATGGTTCCATAGTCCTTCACGAATTTGCGATAATAGCCCGTAAGGCCAAGGAACCCTCGCAACTGCGTCAAGCTCGTGGGTTTCGGCCAACCCACCATCGCCTTAATCTTCCTTGGATCCACCTTGACACCATCGTGAGAAATAAAGTGCCCAAGGTACTCGACCACCTTTTGAGCAAACGAGCATTTGGACGGCTAGATATAAAATGAGTTAGCCGCCAAAATCTTCAAAACAACTCGTAAGTGCTCGAGATGATCTGCCCATGTTTTCGAGTACACCAGAATGTCATCAAAGAATACTAACAAAAACTTACGAAGGTACTCCTTGAAGATTGAATTCATCGCAAACTGAAATGTCGACGGCGCATTGCACAAACCAAAAGGCATCACGAGATATTCGTAGTGCCCTTGGTGCGTGCGAAAAGCCATTTTGGGCACGTCCTCTTTGGCCAATCTGATCTGATGGTAGCCCGCGCGTAGGTCGAGCTTGGAGAAGTAGCACGCGCCACCCAACTCATCCAGCATGTCGTCGACACTTGGAATGGGAAAGCGATCCTTCACGGTAGCCGCACTGAGAGCGCGGTAGTCTATGCAAAACCGCCACGTGCCGTACTTCTTCTTTGCGAGCAGCACCGGTGACGAGAACGGACTCGTACTATGCTGGATGAGTCCGGACTCGAGCATCTCGCCCACCTGCCGCTCGATCTCCGTCTTCTGAAAGTGCGCGTACCTATAGGGATGCACGTGCACTGCTCGACCCTCCTCGACCAAAGGTATACGGTGGTCGAACTCCCGGTGCGGCAGCAATCCCTTGGGCTAGTCGAGGACCTGGTCGAACTCCTCGAGCAAGTCACGTACCTCGCGCTGCCTCTCCTCGACCACTTGGTTGAACTCCTCGCCCGTCTGCTGGACCACGACAGCGTACAACTGCCCGCCACCTCGCCACACCTTCTCGATGCTTTTTAGACCAACCTCCTTGGTCGATCCTTCGTTTTCTTTCAAGGTGACCAGCCTATCATCGGTCTTGAACTTCATCACGCCCTCCCGATAGTTGGTCGTCACATCTCTGAGTCCCTCGAGCCACTGCACCCCAAGAACCACATCCGGCCCTACCAATGGCAAGGCAAACAGGTCCGCCTTCACCGTTACTCCTTGGAATTTGATTGGTATTCCTCGGTACACCTTTGAGCACCGCAGTCGCTCACCATTAGCCACCCGAACCTCGAATGGCTCGACCTTGGACGTGGGTAGTTTAAGTTTGTGAGATAGCATCGCATTAATGAAGTTGTGCGACGACCCATTGTCCATGAGCACAGTCACTCGCCGGTCCTTCACCCACGCCGGCAGTCGCATCATCCTCGGGCCCTTGGTGCCTGCCATGGCGTGCACATAGATCTCGGCCTCATCATCGAGCGCCTCGAGCTCCTCTGCTTCCCTTTCTTCCGCTAACTCTGGCTCCTCATCACCCGAGTCAATAAACTCGATCAGAAAATTTTGCTTACATTTATGACCCAGGGTGAACCTCCCCTTGCACTTAAAGCACAGTCCCTTCTCATGCCTCCGAGCCATCTCTTCGACCGTCAATCGCTTGATCTCCGGAATAGGGGTTCGAATGTTGCTCATTGGTTTGACCCCTGTATTGAACGTGTTCGAGCTAATCGGCACCCAGCGCGATTTCGGGGCGCGGAGATCCGCCC